AAAGTAACGTACAATCTCACGGTTTGATCAAACGAGAGGAACCCAAGAACTAGCGGTTGGTGCTGTTGATTAGCTGCCTTTCTTCTATTTTATCATTTGAAAATTCGGGTTGTCTATGGGCAGATAACGAGAAATTTAGAAACGAATGGAGTTTTTCGAAAGCTCAGCTCTGAGCTTAAGAAACTATAAAGCTAGATAGAATCTAGGGTTCGGTCCGCGAACAAAGCGTACATAGTCCGTCGTGCAGCTTTGGGCTAAAACAAAATGTGTACAGTAGCACAGGGAGCAAGTGACGACCCCCCCTCCCCCAGTGGCACAGCTGTATGTCTTCGGATTTATACCGCTAGAAACCGGGTTTCGATACTCGTGGTGCGCAGAGCACAGATAGTCCATTGTGTAGCTTTGTTCTTAATAACAAACAACAGTAAGTGTCGAATTTTTGACTTACAAAGATCGTTTTTCTTCTTCCTTCTTCTGCTTATTGTTCGAGGGGGGGGATCACTATGACAGAACTAATTTACTTCATCTACGAAGAAATACTTCTTGTTTGCGTTGGGTTGTCACACGAGGAGTCGAACCCCGGATTATAAGTCCGTTAACTAACAGCTGACCCACCAGGGGACAAAAAGCACTGATCGCTAGGTTATTGTTGCCACCAGGGGACAAAAAGTACTGATCGCTAGGTTATTGTTGCCACCAGGGGACAAAAGTACTGATCGCTAGGTTATTGTTGCCACCAGGGGACAAAAGTACTGATCGCTAGGTTATTGTTCTTACCAGGGGACAAAAAGTACTGATCGCTAGGTTATTGTTGCCACCAGGGGACAAAAGTACTGATCGCTAGGTTATTGTTGCCATTCTTTTTGTGTGTGTTGCGGAAATTTATTAGTTAAATAATTTGAATAACAAAACTCACTTGGGTTCAAGAGTACAGTGTTGTCACTTCTAATCCCCTCCTGACTCTCTTTAGATACGAGGTCAATTAAGTCATATTATGATTGGTGTAGTAGGATATAATATTACTAAAGCAAAGTTATAATTGATCCAATGAGCTACGAAGACACTGAAGTTGCCAGGCTCTCCCTGTCTCTAAACACAGCTACTTCAGAAAACGTAGTGTGTGTGTTTTGTTTGTTGTTGTATTTTGTACCTCGAATACGTCAGATTAAAACACCATTATGGTTTGTCAGGCAAATGAAAGAAACGAAACAAAAGGTCGTTGCTATTTGGAAAACAATTTAAAAAACTACTTACTCTTTTAAGAGCCTTTTTATGTTTCTTTATGAGTAATAGACATGCAATGAACACACAAAAAGTGTCATTTCCTTACACTTAGTGAAATTACTTGTTTCCAAGAAAGAAAAAGAAACAACTTGAGCATTATCTTGACCGAAGTTATTTTTAATGTTATAGTTTTAGTAGCCATAAAGAAAAATTATGTATTTCTGTTTGTTTGTTTTGTTTATTGCAAAACTGCTAAGCTTGTCGGCCGCCATCCATAATTTTGAACTGCCAACTACAAAGAAGGCAATAGGCCGGCAGCACCCACCGTCAACTCTTGGAATACTCTTTACCAACGAACGGTGTAGATGTGATCGCTATGTTGTAAAGCTCTCTCGGCTGACAAAGCGAGCATGTTCGACGCTGGGATTTCTTACTATTGAACTTTCGAAAAAAAATGTTTAAAAATAAAAATTGTATTCTATTTTCTCAGAGCTTTAAGCCTTTTCAAAAGAGATTTTTTTTGAGTTTTTGAAATGACGTTCTTATGTTTGCGGTGACTCGTCAATAAACGTGAGGGCTTATAACACCAAATTCGATGTCTGATCCCTGCGTTAGGGACAGCGCAGATAGCCCACTGTGCAGCTTTCCGACTAACAGTAAACAAACGAAAAATTGTTTAAGCTCATAAATCCATGGCGAATCTTTAAAATTTTTCTGCCGACGAATGAGCGATATTTCTGGGATCTTTTCTGCCGACGAATGAGCGGTATTTCTGGGATCACGGAAGAAAATAGGAAACTTTTTTAATAAAATTCAAGTATTGTGTTTTAGACACATCCTTTTGATCTTTTTCACGTCAAAAGCACGTATATGCCCCCCCCCTCTAGAGCACTGCCAAATGAGTTTGGAATTTTTGTATCAACACGAAGAAAAGCTATTCCCCTTCAAACGTCTTAACAGTTTCCAGGTAAGAAAAGATATGTTATTTTCTCTGTTTCGTTGTGCTGTTACAAATGTTATAACGAGTGTTAATACTAACAAAGTTCTGTTTAACATTTAGAGGTAGATGTAACAAAATGTATTAATGTTAAAAATGTTCTTTTTAACAGTTAGGGGAGGTGTTAGAACATGTGTTAATAATGACAAAGTTCTATTTAACATTTAGAGGTAGATGTAACAAAATATGTTAATATAACAATGTTCTATTTAACAGTTAGGGAAGATGTTAGAACATGTGTTAATAATGACAAAGTTCTATTTAACAGTTAGGGAAGGTGTTAGAACATGTGTTAATAATGACAAAGTTCTATTTAACAGTTAGGGAAGGTGTTAGAACATGTGTTAATAATGACAAAGTTCTATTTAACATTTAAAGGTAGATGTACCAAAATATATTAATACAACAATGTTCTTTTTAACAGTTAGAGAAGGTGTTAGAACATGTGTTAATAATGACAAAGTTCTATTTAACATTTAGAGGTAGATGTACCAAAATATGTTAATATAACAATGTTCTATTTAACAGTTAGGGAAGGTGTTAGAACATGTGTTAATAATGACAAAGTTCTATTTAACAGTTAGAGGTAGATGTAACAAAACGTGTTAATAGTAATAAAGTTCTGCTTTGATTTCCTTGCAGAACCCGTAATAACAGGAGGATTCATAGGATACTGTATTACAGTACAGTGATCGTTTGTTTATTGTTAAGCACAAGACTACACGATGAGCTATCTGTGTTCTACCCATCGCAATTTTTAGTGGCCCCCGGGGGGGGGGGCAAAACAGTGCCTGGATTTTCTCTTTTTTTATTTAGTCTTACTTGTGGTGTAAAATGTCTTTATTATAAAACACCCAATGCAATCAAAGTCAAGTTGAAACAACACTTCAATAAGTGCTTGTAGTGTGTGTGTGTGTCTACTGGAGAGAGAGAGAGAGAGAGATTTTTATTGATACTCTCTCACCAACGTACATCTAGCTCTAGTATGCCTTGATGTAAGTTGTGCTGTGCACAACCTATATGTTTGTCGAAAATTATATCATAAATAAAGATAGCTCGGTAAAATTTTAGTAAGTTCTAGCCAATCTGAAGTCTAGTAAAATCTGAGTAGATACGGGTAAATCAATATGTGTCTAAAAATGCTTACAAAATCTGGAACACAAAATAAAGTTGTTTTACGTACAAAGTTCTCTCTCCCTAGGTGCACGCGCCATCCACGTGACTGAGGGCCACTCTCATGTCAACAAGGAGTAGAAAATATGCCCATGTAATCCCATGGCTCCCCCAAAGAACAAATCATTTCTATTCCTATCATCCTTCATATTTCAGTGATTTGTTCAAAAGGGAAAATGCATGCAACGACCTTGGGAGGAACTAAGTGGTTCTCTTGACCAATGTCCAATATTAAGAATAAACCTGCAACACTGAAAACTTGCAGCTGGGGAGGGAAATAGAAAACGCATGATGTGCCTGTATTTCACATTTTTCAACCAGGCAACATAATTGGTTAACATTGCTGTAGGAAGCAACTTTTGAGTGGTCAGGCCATTGCCACAATGCCATTTCTAGAAGGATTTGGGGGAATGCCCCCCCCAAAAAAATATTGAAAACTTAATGCTATGAGATTGAATCTTGAACCATTTTAACTACAACTACTACGTACACACAACGTAATGTGTTGAATTAAAAGAAGCAAGTTTTAACACGTAAAGTATGCCTTTGGGGTACAAATTTGTTCTAAGTCCCACTGGGCTATTTAAGCCGGAAAAAATATATTTGGCTAAACGTTTTTGCATTGAATCTCTCATAACGTATCAGAGCTAAATCCGTTTTCCAGATGTGCTTTCAAATATCATTAATGATATTCTTGATACAAATGAAAACACTGCACCAAATGCATGCTATACAGTGGTCCTGGAAGGATATGAGATGATAAAGGAGACAAACCCCCATGGAAGAGTTTACTGATGAGAAGAAAATATAAAGCCAAATCAAACAGAAAAAGAAGAAGGAAAGGCAAGCAGTTGAAGGAGGAGCCCAAGGAGTTGTTTAATTATGAATTGTGTACTGGTCAACATAAGTATTCATCCCCAAAAAAACAACAAAATCGTACAATTGTCATTTCTTTGTATTTATTGTCATGAAAGAAAGAAGGAAAAAGCAAAATAACAAGAAAATGAAAAGAAAAGGGCCCACTTTTCCAGAAAATGTAACCGAAATTGCAATCTTCAAACGATCATAAAATGTCGAGTATTTATGCCTAAAACAAAAAATGAAAATAAAAACACCATTGAAAATATTTTTTGCTGTTCGATTTTAGTACTAAATGTCTAATTTCAGCGATCAAATTCCGTAGTTAACGGAAGATAATATTCATGGAAGGTGGGATTGTTCATTAATTATCAAATTAAAGAGATTAGTTAGTAAACTGGTATTTATAAAAAAAATATCATTATGAAACCAGATACCTTGAGTGGTCAAGAGATAATGTTCACGAGGGCGACATTCATCAAAACATGATTATCAAATCAGAGACCTTGATTGGTCAAGAGGCAATGTTCATCACTCACATTTTTTAAACAGTGGCACAGCAGTACGTCTGCGGACTTACAACTTTAGAAACCGGGTTTCGATACCACTGGTGGGCAAAGCACAGATAGCCCATTGTGTAGCTTTGTGCTTAATTACAAACAAATTATTCCTCTAGCGAAGAAAAGCCATAATAACGAAATATATTTTTATTTTTTATTTTTAACAACGTATAAAGTCAGGCCTTTTTTTTAGATTTTTAACACCGTATAGATAATAGATCAATACATATATTTTGTCGTCGATGAATAAAAGTATGAAAGTAACTTTGAATTTTTATAATATTTAAACAGTAAACAATTATGTTCTATAACAAAATGCTTAGTTTTACACCGTTCTTTCTTTTGCAATTTCTTAAAACTTAATTTATCTATTTTTTAAAGGAACACAAGCAAGAAACGATCGGCCTTTAATTGCTAAGAAAGAGAATGTGGACCATAAACCGATCACGTATTTAATAAGAAAACAGAAATAAGTAGTTTGTCAGTTAGAGTTTTTGTTTCGTTTCCAAATGAGAAAGGCCTCTTCTGGAGTGATAAGAGTAGCGCCACCTTGACGACAAGGATACAACCAAGGGTGTTTCACAGATCTTGATAAACATGGTCTCAGGCTTTCAGCGGGAGATAACATTGAATCCACTAAATCCATTGCAAAAATCCGTTCGTGACTTCTTGGAAGGAGGTGTACGTTGCTGCTCCAGCGGTACTGACGCCCTAATTGAAGTCTGATGATGACGACGGGATTGGGATGATCGGGAAAAGGCATAAGACGGTTGAGCAGTCCGAATAGCAGCACTCCGAGTGCCCAGACGTCAGCTTTATGAGGATCGTACTGTACACATTTTAAAACTTCAGGGCATGCATATGCGTGAGACCCACAATAAGTTTCACTGAGACGAGTTCTACCCACTAACTCCCTGGCAAAACTAAAATCGCTGATTTTGATGTTAAAGTTCGTGGAGATCAAAACGTTTTCCATTTTCAGATCACGGTGTGCAATTCGCAGCCGATGAAGGTACTCCAAACCTTCGCACAGTTGGCAGCTCCATTTCCGGGCCACTTCCGGTGTGAGACGGAAGTACGTTTCATCGTCATTTATTGCAGATAGTAAGTCACCTTGACCATGGTGTTCCAACACCAAGAACGCCTGTAAGGCAGTGAAAAGATAAACTAACAAGCTACATACAAAATACATCTACTTGTTATTCACCTCTAAACTTATGTTCAAACACCAAGAACGCCTTTAAGGCAGTGAAAAGATAAACTAACAAGCTATATACAAAATACACCTACTTGTTATTCACCTCTAAACTTATGTTCAAACACCAAGAACGCCTGTAAGGCAGTGAAAAGATAAACTAACAAGCTACATACAAAATACATCTACTTTTTATTCATCTCTAAACTTATGTTCAAACACCAAGAACGCCTAAATAAGTTTAGAGGTGAATAACAAGTAGGTGTATTTTGTATGTAGCTTGTTAGTTTATCTTTTCACTGCCTTACAGGCGTTCTTGGTGTTTGAACATAAGTTTAGAGGTGAATAACAAGTAGGTGTATTTTGTATGTAGCTTGTTAGTTTATCTTTTCACTGCTTTATGCTGTTCAACAGTTTCTTGTTGTCTATATCTAGCTTGCCTTGATGATTCTGACTGAACTCTGGCGTTGTGCTGTTCAACAGTTTCTTGTTGTCTATATCCAGCTTGCCGTGATGATTCTGACTGAACTCTGGCTTTGTGCTGTTCAACAGTTTCTTGCTGTCTTTGAGTAGCCTTTACGTTGTTCCAAAGTCGCTTCCTGTATTTGAGCAGCTTGTGCTTGAAGTCTTTGATTGCGTTCTTCTTCTGTTTCAGCTGCTCTTTGTGCTTGCATTCTTTTAGCGGCAGAAGACTTTCCATAGAAAGGGCGTTTCTTAGGTAGCATACTCACCTGTATCACTAAACAATAATTTACAATTCACAAAGTTACTAAATCACTTATGAAACCACTTAGCACTGTTTAAAGAAAACTGTTTTTAGAAATACTGCATTGACAGCATGGTGATCTGAGTGTCTCCCGCCATATCGCTTTCTATGTGCAAAACATGCTTATGTTTGTATGTTGATTAGAAAAAAAATGGCGCAATAATAATTAATTGTCAATTTCGTCATTAAATACTACACCAGATACAAAATAAATAGCACCATTAAATTTCTTGTAAAAAAACTGGTTATTATGAAGTTATTTTAAAATTTGGAAGTTCAACCGTTGGGTTTTCTATAGCGAACAAAATAAACAAACTTCCTCTTTTATGCCCCCCAGTGGCACAGCGGCAATGATTTGGCTGACCCGCCAAAAGTTGGCTTCACCGTTGCAACCGGTGAGGGCACAATCACTGCTCAGTTCAAATTTCTCGAACTGATCGAACTATTAACATTGTTTGTTGTGTGTAAATAAACATACACATTTAAATACATGTACCGGTATTAAGAATTATATGACCATCACCGACCCAAAACAGTGCTAAATTAAATATATATAATTGACCTGCGATCAATAAAAGGTTGTCGACCACTGATCTATACAGTAATATCAGAACACGGTTTTGATTTCTAAAAGCTGTTACTTCCACATATTAACAATGATGCATAGAATTTTACGTGAAGTTTGGAGATCAAAATTAATCCAAGCCTTAAGTAACAAATACGAAATTTAAAAACAGTCCAAAATGGACTTTTGAGGTTAAAACTCATTCAAACCTCGAGTAACCAACACAAAGTTTGGAGATTAAAATCTATTCGAATCTTGAGTAGTCAAAATGTAATTTAGTGAAAATCAAAATTTTGAGTAAATCTTGATTAAAACTAATCCAAATCTTTATTAGCAAACATGTAAACTTCTGTCTGCGCAAAAGATTCATGTTCTACACTTAATCAATTATCACATAAACTACACCGCATATGATTTTGTAACGTACTACAACATCACAAAACCACCACCAGATATATACGTTTAGAAAATGTCGTTGTTCGTTTGTTTATTTTTTTCTGGAATTTCACACAAAGTTACGCAATGGCTACGTGCGCTAACTGTTCTCAATTTTTATGCGATAGACTAGAGGTAAAGCAACTGGTCAGCGCCACTAACCGCCAACTCTTAGGCTACTCTAATCGAATAGCGAGCATATATGGTGACAGGTTTCGATCCTGTAACCCATAGATTGCTTGTCTGGCACCGTAACCAGGAAGCAGTGTCAGGTTCTTGTTAAAAAAGTACTCCGAATGTTAATAAAATATAGAACATCTCCAGAGTTCGGTTAAAGTTAACCGGATCAAGTTAGCTGCTTAACTTTCGATCGATGTTTTAGTAACAGTTGAAACGATGAATTATTATAATTCAGAAGTCGTGGGTTCCAAAATACAGACTGAAGGTAAAAACAAGAAAAAACGCATCTACTGATATGAACCGTACACTAATAAAACACAGAATTCGAGTTCATGAACAAATATTTTCTGTCACTTTTCATCATTTTGTCCAATGCGCGAGCTTGAAATACACACCAGTTGATTTGCCATAAAGTTTAAGAAATTGTCTATAATGAAGAGCTTTCCTGGTTTTTGCTGTATTCGATGGGGGTAACTTGTAAAACCTTTTATATCTAGGCTCGTAAGTTGCATCAATTGTTGCTTCATTTTTAGTCCGAGCATTCTTCACCAGAGATTTCTGAATTTTAAAACTCTGAAAACAAAATTTAGGCATAGGAAGAAAACGTTTTATAACACCCCGTATAACTAAAACTCAGTGCTAAAAGAACGGTATAAGCAAAGCCAGAGTTCAGTCAGAATCATCAAGGCAAGCTGGATATAGACAACAAGAAACTTCTGAACAACGTCAAACCAGACTTCAAGCACAAAAAAAGTAAGGCAAATAACTTACAGGGAGCAAGAAACAGAGGAGCTACATGATGTACGAATTCAGGCTCAAAGAACAAGACAAGCTCAAACACGATCTAATTTCAAATAAAGCTTTGTTTGATTAAATGCTTTTTTATTTCTCGCATCGCAGCTTTTGTCTACTTACTGAATAATTTGCGGAAAAAAGTACTGATCTATATATTTCAAATCTAAACTTTCACCGTGCAACACCGGGTAACTCAGCTAATTAATATATAAAAAAGCAAGAGAAGAACAACGATTGAAGGGAAGTGTTTTTTTTTTTTGAACAACACATTATCAGTTTTCTCTACAAGTGGCTAACGGACGACCGCTGACCATAATTCCAAACAATGTCGTAGTGTTCTTACCTTTTACATAACTACTAGTACAAACTTCTGAATATATAAAGTGAAAACCTTTACGAGCGTAATTCTATGCAGCTTTCAAAAGCAACAGTATTTTTATATTACATTATACAAACTTATGAGTAATAGTACAAAATAACGTATAATAAATAATATGCGAACCGCACTATATCTGGTATAACCGGTGCTGACAAGGCCTTTCTTTCACCCAATGCCAGAGCTCACCAGGCTGACTAGAATAAGACAGATACAATAGTTTTTTAAGCGTAATTACATTACAGTCCCTCAAAAGAACAGGCGGATCAGTAGAGAGTTGCGCCCTCTCTACCACCATTAGTTGTTGAGACGCTGCTTATATTATCAAATGACTTGAAAAACAACTGTTTCAGTGTGAACTAGTTTAAGTTGTTGAAGTGTAATTTTCTGTCTATTTTATTTAAGTCATTGCAAGTTCAGAATTAGACTAAGGACTTATTAACACAATGCTATTTATTTTCACTTGAATTAAATTTACTGATCGATCACTAGCAAAAAAAACTGGCGAACCAGCAAGCTAGTCATCTTGATTAGGGTACGAATCAGACAACCACGGCGTCAACAGGAGGAGACTACATTAGTAATTATAATAACTTATAAATAAAAGTAAAGGAGAATATATAGAAATATGGCAATCACACTATAGCTGGTATATCACGTGCTGACGAGGCCTTTTGTACAATACCAGGATTCATAAGGCTGGCTGAGATACGACAGACACAAAAGTGGTTGAGACTCTACTTATATTATCATATTGCTTGAACAAATGTTTTGGTGTAAACTAGGTTAAATTGGTAAAGCGTAATTTTGTTTCGTTACCATATTGGAAATTTATATTGACCTTGTGTTTTCAAAAGATTGAGATTTATGTAGAGAATAATATATTTATTCAAAGTTCTGATATTTTATATTTACTACAAAGTGAATTTCTTTAATACCCAGAACGGAAATACAGGTCTTCAAAAACAGGTAATTTCACGAAAATTCATATCCAAATATGCAACATGTTGACAGTTCACGAGATACATTCCATGGGTCAGTAATGACTATATCCAAATATGCAACATGTTGACAGTTCACGAGATACATTCCATGGGTCAGTAACGACTATATCCAAATATGCAACATGTTGACAGTTCACGAGATACATTCCATGGGTCAGTAACGACTATATCCAAATATGCAACATGTTGAAAGTTCACGAGATACATTCCATGGGTCAGTAACGACTATATCCAAATATGCAACATGTTGACAGTTCACGAGATACATTCCATGGGTCAGTAACGACTAAGAAAACCAAATGATTTCCAACAGATCGCTTACTATCAGAATCAATAACATTTCAGCCTTGAATAGGTTATACTTAAAGTAGACACGAATATGATAAAATGTTATTATCTTGCATCAATACTAGCAGAAAAATGTGTGCAAAATATTTCTGGTAACAAGATTTGCTTTTATTTGTAGTTATGTGGGAAGAAATATATGAGCATGCCCAAACAGCCATTTACGCCACCTTCTTTTTTCTTTGTGTTATAAAACAATATAAAGGGAGATATGTGTTTATATATATATGTATCTCTTATCGTAACTACGCGTGGCACCTCCATTTTGATGGAAATACGGTTATATGATCAAATAGTCCCCACGATACCACAGTCCGCTATCTGCAACAGAAACAAAGCGATCATTTTGCGTGAACTGTTGACAGCCTCGTTCCTTAAACACTCTCCATGACCAAATTGCCTGGATAAACGAGGTAGGAGTAACAGAAGCGGCAGCGGTCTACTCACGAGCTCTACCCTACGCCTGGGCCACATGTGTTTGTT